ATAAAAGCAGGTGAAATGCATTTCTGTAGTAAATTCAGAGTCGCATGGAGATAGATAGATAGATAGATAGATAGATAGATAGATAGATAGAAAATAGATAGATATGAAAATACTGATATAGTTAGATAGATAGATAAATAGATAATGAACAGACAGGCATAGATAGATAGATAGATAGATAGATAGATAGATAGATAGATAGATAGATAGATAGATAGATAGATAATAAACACACTGAGATAGATAATGAACAAAAAGAGATAGCTAGGTAGCTAGCTATATAGGAAAAGACAGTGATAGATAATAAATAAAACGGAGATAGATAGATAGATAGATAGATAGATAGATAGATAGATAGATAGATAGATAAACAAACTGATATAGCTAGATACATCGATAGATACATAGATAGAGATGAAAATACTGAGATAGATAGATAAATAGATAATGAACAGCCTGAGATAGATAGATAGATAGATAGATAGATAATGAACAGAATGAGATAGATAATGAACAAAAAGAGATATATAGATAGATAGATAGATAGATAGACAGATAGATAGGAAAAGACAGTGATAGATAATTAACAAAATGAGATAGATAGATAGATCAATATGAAATGACTGAGATAGATAGATAGATAGATAGATAGATATATGTGAAGTGACTGAGGATAGACGTATAGATAGATAATGAAAGGATTGAAAAAGAAAGATAACGATTGGTAGAGAGATAGATAATGAGTAGACTTTGATAGATAGATATTGAGCAGAATGAGATAGATAGATAGATAGATAGATAGATAGATATTGAACAGAATGAGATAGATAGATAGATAGATAGATAGATAGATAGATAGATAGATAGATAGATACGTCGGTAACAGGATAGTGAAAAAAAAGAACATGTGCGTGATTTTAGGATGTATTATTGTATCTGAAAAAAACGGTGATAAGAAGAAAGTGGAAAATTTATTTAACGGCGCATTTCGCGGGCGATGTCTGTAATGTTCGGCGTCTCTAGACACAGCATGAAGACGTCGAACAAAACACACACTGTCAGTACGAAACGCGTCGTTAAAATCTTTTTCACTGTGTCCTAATATTTCCAATTTTGTTTTGAATACTATTATATATCCTAGAAACAGGCATAATATTCTATCTATCTATCTATCTATCTATCTATCTATCTATCTATCTATCTATCTATCTCATTCCGTTTATTATCTATCTATCTATCTATCTATCTCATTATGTTCATTATCTATGTGATTCTGTTTATCTATCTATCTATCTATCTATCTATCTATCTATATATGTTCATTATCTATCCCATTATGTTCATTATCTATCTATCTATCTATCTATCTATCTATCTATCTATCCTATCTATCTATCACACTTACTTGAGCCTTATTCCTAATATTTAGACACTATCGCATGTGACCCCCACCCCCCACAAAAAAAAAAAAAAAAAAAAGAATCTATGACCCCTGTATTTCTCACTAAACATCTTTATTAGTTGATAACACAGAGGAAGACATAAGAAATCAAAAAGGAGACGTTTTGAGACACATCTGTCCTCCGCTGTTTAAATGAGATGATTAAGAAAGGGCACGTGTGGATCCTGGGATTGAAAGAGAAGTAGAGGTCATTAGGTGGAAGGGAGCAAAATTCAATGAAGAAAAGAAAGGAAGAAAGAATACCAGTAAAGAAGAAAAGAAAGGAAGAAAGAATGACAGTAAAGAAGAAAAGAAAGGAAGAAAGAATGACAGTAAAGAAGAAAAGAAAGGAAGAAAGAATAACAGTCAAGAAGAAAAGAAAGGAAGAAAGAATGACAGTAAAGAAGAAAAGAAAGGAAGAAAGAATGACAGTAAAGAAGAAAAGAAAGGAAGAAAGAATAACAGTAAAGAAGAAAAGAAAGGAAGAAAGAATGACAGTAAAGAAGAAAAGAAAGGAAGAAAGAATGACAGTAAAGAAATGAAAGTAAAAGAAGAAAAGAAAGGAAGAAAGAATAGTCAAAGAAGAAAAGAAAGGAAGAAAGAATAACAAAAAGAAAAGAAGAAAAAGAAAGGAAGAAAGAATGGAAGTAAAGAAGAAAAGAAAGGAAGAAAGAATAACAGTCAAGAAGAAAGAAAAAGAAGAAAGAAAAACAGTAAAAAGAAAAGAAAAGAAAGGAAGAAAGAATGACAGTAAAGAAGAAAAGAAAGGAAGAAAGAATAACAGTCAAGAAGAAAAGAAAGGAAGAAAGAAAAACAGTAAAGAAGAAAAGAAAGGAAGAAAGAATGAAAGTAAAGAAGAAAAGAAAGGAAGAAAGAATAACAGTCAAGAAGAAAAGAAAGGAAGAAAGAAAAACAGTAAAGAAGAAAAGAAAGGAAGAAAGAATGACAGTAAAGAAGAAAAGAAAGGAAGAAAGAATGACAGTAAAGAAGAAAAGAAAGGAAGAAAGAATGAAAGTAAAGAAAAGAAAGAAAGAAAGAATAACAGTAAAGAAGAAAATAAACGATGGAAGAATAACTGCAAGAAGGAATAATTATTATGACAAAAAAGGGAGAAAGAACAACAGTAATGAAGAAAAGAAAGGGAGAAAGAATAATAGTTATGCTGAAAAGAAAGGATGATAGAATAAGAGTAAATAAGAAAAGAAGGAAGAATAAGATTAAAGAAGAAAAGAAAGAAAGAATAACAGTAAAAACAAAAAAAACAGGAAGAAAAAAAATAACATCTATGGTGAAAAGAAAGAGAGACCGATAGATAGGAGCAGAATGAGATAGATAGATAGATAGATAGATAGATAGATAGATATGAAATGGTGAAAAGAAAGAGAGAAAGAATAACAGTAAACAAGAAAAGAAAGAATAACAGTAATAAAGAAAAGAAAGAAAGGAAGAAGAATAGTAAAGAAGAAAAGAAAGAATGAATAACAGTAAAAAAGAAAAAAGGAGGAAGAAGGTATAATAGTTATGATAAAAAGAAAGAAAGAAATAACAGTAGAGATAAAAAGAAAAAAGAATAATATCAACAACAAAACAGTAATAATAATAGTGATATTTATTATTATTACTATAATCATTATGTTGATGATGATAATGATGATGCTAATAAAGTAATGAAGAAAGAATAACTGTACCTATGAAAAGGAAGGAAGGAACGTCGTAGTTATTAAAAGAAACGAAATAAAAGTGAATAACCGTTTTAATGAGACGGAAGGAATGGAGAATAACAATCAGAAGAAAAAGAATACCAGTAGAACAAGGAAAGAGTGAATAAACGACTGGAATGATCGACCCATGGACTATTCGACTAGGAAGCCTGGAAAGTAAGCGACAATCAGTGGATAGAAGTTATCGGAAAAGCAAACCTGTAGATGCCAATCTCTTTAAAGCGAAATCTCAACCCATTCTTCTATACTTATTCTCTTCGCCATTTTTTTCTCCTTTATTCGCGGTGATTTGTCAATGACGACGGATCACCTGATGAAAATGGTGAAGGAATAAAAGGGGGAAAAAACAAAAGTAAAAAGCGTACATTTCGACCCTAACAACTGTATTCAAGTAAGAACTGGAGGTGAAAAAAAAAGAAGCCTAGCCCCCCCCCTCCAAAAAAAGAGGTTGTGACCTAGAATGTTCATTGAAATTCGGGGAGAAAAAAAACGAACAAAAAGAATATGAACGACTTTCGGAACAGGAGATATATACATAGCGAGAAGAGAAGAGACAAGAAAGAAAGAAAGAAAGAAAGAAGGAAAGAAAGAAAGAAAGAATGGTTTGAAGAAACAGTAATAAAGAAAGAAAGAAAGAAAGAAAGAAAGAAAGAAGAAACATAAAGAAAGAAACAGAAAGAAAGAAACAAATAATGAAAGAAAGATTGGTGGAAGAAACAGAAAGAAAGAAAGAAAGAATGAAAGAAAGAAAGAAACGGAAATAAAGAAAGAAACCAATAAATAAATAAAGAAAAAAAAGAAACATAAAGCAAGAAAGAAACAGAAATAAATAATGAAAGAACGAATGAATGAAAGAAAGAAATAAACAGAAAAAACAACGAAAGAAAGAAAGAAAGAGAAATAAATAAATAAAGAAAGAAACAGAAAGAAAGAAATAGAACGAAACAGAAAGAAACAGTATGAAAGAAAGAAAAAGAAAGAAAAAGAAATAAACAGAAAGAAAGAAACCGAATGAAAAAAATAAAGAAGAAAGAAAGAACGAAAAAATAAACAGAAAGAAAGAAAGAAAGAAAGATGCAGAAAGAAAAAAGAAACAGAAAATAGAAAGAAAGGAAGAAATGAAGCACCAATAAAGACAAAAAAGAAAGAGAGAAAAAAACAGAGAAAAGAATGAAAGAATAACAGACAGACAGAAAGAAAAATAGAAAAAAAGAGAGAAAGGAATAACTCCAAAACAATGAAAATGAAAAGAAGATAAAAAGGAAAGAGAAAAAGAGGAGGGACTAATAAATGCAAGAGAAAAATAAAAAGAAAGAAGGAAAAAGAATGAAAAGGAGAGGAAATAAGGATTAGAATAAAGCGAAGAAAAAGGAAGAAAAGAGAAGAAGAAAATGAAGGAAGAAAAAGATTACAAGAAAAAAGTGTAGAAAAAATGAATTTTAAAAGAAAGAAAGAATTAAAAAAAAAACTCAGAGGAAAGAAGTTAGGAATAAACAGCAAGAATTGAAAAAAGAGAAGAAGAAGAAGAAGAGAAGAAGAAGAAGAAGAAAAAGAAGAAAAAGAAAAAGAAGACAAAGAAAAAGAAGAAGAAGAAAAACAGGCAAAAAGAAAGAAACAAACAAACAAAAAAAAACCTAAGAACTGGAACACATAAAATAAGTAATAAAAAAAAGAAAGAAAAAAAAAAAGAAATTAAGAAAGAAAATATAAAAAGGAAAAAAAGTGAAAGACCAAAAGTGAGTAAAAAAAACAGAAAGAAGGGACCAATGAAAGAAAAAAGAAAGGAAAAAAAGAAAGGAAAAAAGAAGAACGTCTTTCTGATATAAACAAAGAAAAAGCAAGAATGAAAGAAAAAGAAAGACAGAAATAAATAAAGGAGGAAAGAACGAAACAAAAATAATGAAAGAAAGAAAGAAAGAAAAAGAAAGAAACAGAAAGAAAGCGATAAATAAAGAGGAAGAAGTAAAGTAAGAAAGAAAGAAACACGAAAAAAAAAAAATAAAGACAGAAAGAGAAAAGGAAAGAAAGAAAGAAGAAAGGAATGAAAAAGAGGTAAGCCAATTGTTATCAACAGCGAAACTAAGCCTGAGTTAAATTAACCCAGAAACACAGCAGAGGGGGGCGGGATTTTATAAATAAAAAAAACCCATACCGTGTTAAAGTAGTCATTTTTTTTTTTTGCATCTTTCTGAAACATTTCATCTTATGTTGTTGATGTCATGTCAAACTGTTCTTGTTTTTATTCTCCAATGGCGTCTTCCCCCCCCCTCTAATTCTGATTTTTTTTTTGTAGCTCAGCTCAGAGAAATCTAACGACTGTATTTTACAACATTCTCTATAAATTTTTTATTTCGCTTTTACTTAGTCTTAAAAATCTGTCTTATTTATTTATTTATTTATTTATTTTTTCATTTCAATTTTTCGTTTCGTTTTTCGTTTCGTTTTCGTTTCGGGTTTTATTAAAGCTTCGTCGTCACAGTTTTCTCTTTCCCGTTCAAAATAACGCATTTTTTATTTTTTTTTTTTTTTTTTATTCTCGTTCAATTTTTTTTCTTTTATTTATCGTTGCAAGTTATATGCAAGTTCCCTTTGCATTTTGTCTAACGTTAAAAGGATCGACATGGGCGACAAAGAGTAAAAGGAGAGCCAATTATTATTTTGTCAAATGGGGATAAGTGACTTAGCTGCCTTCATGAAATCGCTAAAAAAAAAAGAGCATAGCATGATAAAAACGGCCTTAAACAT